TAAGACTGTCTCCATTTTGTAAATCAGTGGAACTGAGGCTCAGAGGGGCTGAGTAAATGGCCCAGGATCCTACTGCTGGTAAGTGGCTGGGCCACATTTTACACTCTCAAGTCCAGTGCTCTTTCCATGGCACCACAGTGCTTTCTGAAGGGGCAGGAATACAGGTCTGGGGTTCCCAAGTGGAAACCGAGGGCATTTGCCCAGCGAGGGCCCGGAGCCACGTTATGAAGTGACCCTTGACAGTGGTTTCCTCAGGAAGATCGCCTTCAGGTTAGCAACTCAGAGATTGTTTCTGCTCTCCTGCCCAGGGCCAACCTGTCCTTAGCAGAAGCTGAGACATTTTCCTATGAGAGAGAGCAGCCCTCACTGATGACCTGTGTAGAACAGGAACAGAGCAGGTGTGGCCGAGCCTGGAGACTGCCAGAGCTGAGCCTCAGCATCCAGGGGCCTGTGTTCAAGCACCAGCACCGCTGCCTGGTGCACACTACACGGCCTTGCACTAAACTCAGCGGAATCCGGCTCCTTCATGGACCATTTCCTCCCCAGGAGGTTGCAGTGATGCCTGGATGCAGGCTCATGTCGTGAGAGAGCTGAGCCGGGGGGAGTGCCGTGTGCATGCTTTCATCCTGTGCAGGCCCAGTGCCCTGGGTCACCCCATCGTCTCAGGAAGGAGCCCAAGGTGGGGTGGGGATTGGAAGGAGCTGCCCTCGATGGCTGTCGTGCCTTGGGCACAGTGCTGATTTGAGATAAGATATACTCTCCCTTTTTGCACCATCTGTACAAGTTAGGTCTTGACAGGTGAGAAAAGTGTGGCCCACCCCAGCAGGAGTGGGCCGGGCTTGGAGCCCAGATATCAGCCCAACCTCTTAACTAGTCTCCTGCCCACTTGGAGATAGTGAACTCTAAAGCTTGTTTCAAAGGTAGGACACCAGGGGTCAGAGACAGGGCGTGGTGGGCCTGGGGTCAGCTGAGTTGGGATCAGAACTTAAGCCTTATGTCTTGGGGCCCCATGCCACCCCTGAGCCCATCAGACTTGGGTTTGGGAAGCTTTGGGGACAGATGCCAGTTGTGGGAGGCTCTGATGCACAGGCAGCGGCTGCCTGTCTTGGCCCTTAGCACCTGCGTGCTGTGTACTCACTGAGCAGACCTGTGTAGAGCGTCCCCTGAGGCCCCAGGTGCATGAGCAACTCTGCTTCACTTTCTACCGAAGCCGACTTCCCTAGTATTCAAAGTTAGATTTAGTTCATTCATTTGAAGGACCAGATTTTCAGGAGAAAGATGCTTCCCTGTGTCCCATCGTTCCCAGGGTTGGTCCAGGATTGACATTGTGGGCAGACACAACCCAAAAGGAGAGTAGGGCTGTGTGCATGGAGACTGAACTGTGCTGGCCAGAATGATAACACAGCCCGGTCACATGGCCACCAGTTTTGTGACATTTACCTAGTATTTTCTTTAAATCCGCTCTCTTTGAAGTAATTGAAAAACAAACACGATTTTTTCGACAAATGGGAAGTGTTATCCCATACCATCGCCACCTAAAGGCCCTGAGCCTGAGGCCTGCTTTCCCTTTGTTTCACAAACGAGAACTGGAGAGGTGGGCAAGATCTGCCAGCCTCACAGTGAGGTTGCCTCTGGAAGGGGTCAGGAGGCTCGAAAAAAGAGTAACTTCCTCGCTACTGGACCCCATATTGTTTACTTTTCTCTTTCTCCACCACCCATAATTGCATCACATGTCACCACAGCCCATTCCATGTGAGAATCTGACATTGGAAAGGAGCACTTGGCCATCTTGGTGCTGGGCCAGCCACTGCCTTGCCGTGGGGCCCGGGGCCGGTCTCCTTTCTCTTATCCTGGTTTCTCTCCCAGAGAACCGGAGGGTTGGACAGATCAGGGGTTTTCCTGATAGTTCTGCTGAATGCCCATGGCTCTTGGGGGCCTTCAGGTCTCACCAGTTTTGGCCAGAGCTGGTCCATCTTTTCATTGACAAAACCCAAATTAAGTCTTGTGTGGTGGTCCAGGTCGTTGAGAAGAGTTGCTGCCCACAGGCAGCCACTGAGGGCCTCAGCTAACTCGTCTTTTTGTCCTCCTAAGCGATGCCACTGGAGCGACATGTTCACCGGAAGGCTGCGGTCCGAGATCCCGCCAGCCCTGGTAAGCAGACGAGGCCACTGCTCCCCTGGACAGAGGGGACCCCTGAGGCAATTCTCAGGTCTTTTTCCTCACACCTTCTCTCTGGAGATTAAGCTGTGTCTTGTGGGTGACAGAGATGCCGAAATAGAAGCCAAGCAAGCACAGCGTCTGCCCTGTGTTCTGACGGGCAGGTGGGAATACAGGCGATAACGGGGAGCCAGAGTGAGGAGGATTCAGGGCCCTGTGAGACTGGGAGGCCGTGACAGGAGGGACAGCAGAGACACATTCCTGGGTTCATTCTGGAGCTGTGTGGTTTCACTTGCACTATGGATTTCGCTGCCTACACTGTCACCCCCCGTCCTGGCATTTCCCGCTCCTGCACCCTGAGTTGCTGCTCCGTCCTGACCAGTCAGCACACAGCATGCTGCTTCGTGCTTCTGTCTCTCCGCTCATGTTTTCACTGCTTCCTGTAACTTTCTCATGAACTCTCATCCAGACCGAGCTCAGATGTCGCCTCCCACAGGGAGCCTTCTCTGACCACCCCACATACACCAAGCCCCACGCCCCAGCAGGATTAGGAGCCCTCTGCAGGGTTTCCGGTCTCGGGTATATGATGCGACAGCTCTGTACTGAGGTGGACTGTGCCTTCTGCCAGTTCCCCACCAATCCGGGTGCCTTCTAAGGACGGCAGGCCTGGCACAGAAGCAGCACCTGCTAGGTGGCTCTGATGCTGACCTGAGCTCCCTCTGTGCCTAGATCTCACTAGGGGAGGGACTCATCACAGCCGGGGCCCAGCTGGTGGAGCTAGATCTAAGTGACAATGCGTTCGGGCCCGATGGCGTACGAGGCTTTGAGGCCCTGCTGAAGAGCTCTGCCTGCTTCACCCTGCACGAACTCAAGCTCAACAACTGTGGCATGGGCATCGGTGGCGGCAAGGTGGGTGTGCGTCTCCATTGTCCCTCACCCTCCCTCCCTAACCAGTTTCCTGATATATTTTCCTCCAAAGTATGCGCACTCGGCCACCCACCCTCTGGGATGGTTGCCTATTGTTTTTCTCCTCAAAGGAGAAAGGCCTCAAAGGCACAGCCTGTGGCCAGTGGGGTGAGGAGATGGAGTCCTTGAGGGTGGGGTTGCCAAGCAACCATCCTGTCCTCGTGTTGCCTTGGCAACACAGCAGCAGTATCGCATATGTGCTCCGGCCTGCAGGCTCTGCAAAATGGAGAGCTTTGTGCATCCTTAGACCTGTGCCCTTGAAACAGCTGGCAGAGCCACGTGAAGCCTGGAGTGTGTGCACAGGGCGGCAGGCGGGGAGATACCCAGAAAGAGATGGCGCAGCTCCCTTTTGTTCCTTTGTGGGCTGGGACGCCTCGCCGTCCTGCCGGTCAGGCTGGTCGGCGTACAACGGCTGTCCTCTTCCCAGAACCTGCTTATTTTCTTGCTCCATTCTGGTTCCTTTAGGCCTAAATTCTAGAAAACTCAGTGCCAGTCTGCATTTCTGTCTTCCCCCCTTAACACCCCCAACCCCCTACTTCTGACCAAAAGGAGAAGAGGTCTAGGCCACAGGAATGACAGCGATCAGGAAATCTCTTTGAAGATGTGTTGTATGCGGTACGTTAATTCTCCCCCCCACACACTGATAGGCACTGACGCTGTTTCTAGTTTTTCACTTAACTAGACGTGGGCTTGGAGCTCTTTGGTACATTATCCCAGATGATGTAGCTAGTGTGGGATGATGTGGGATTTGAACCTGCATCCATGCAGTCCTATTGGCAGCAAGAGGAGCCTGTGCGATGCTCGCAGTGCCCAGGCTGAGGAGCCTCCCCTGCAGAGGGTGCCTTTCGCCTTCCTGCCCCATGGGACGGAGAATAGGGGCATGTTCCCATGTCCGTCTCAGCCGGCTCTCCCCCTAGTCTTAATCGGGTAATAAGCTGTGTGTGAGCGTGTGTGTGTAAGAGAGAGAGCCGGAGACAGATTACATAAAGGCTTTGCATCAGCACAGAAAATGGTTAAGCCCAACCTAGAGTGTGAAGTGCTGGGAGAGCTGGAGACGTCTTTGGAAAATGCTTCCGTTTTCCACCCCTCACCTCGCTGTGCCGCACAGCAGTCCCAGGGAGCCAAGGTTTAGAAGCTACCTCCACACACCACCTAAGGACAGGGCAAACTGGGTTTAAGGTTTCTGTCCCCAGCAGCAGCTGAGACCTTGTTTTGTGTGGCTCACTTGGACACCGGCACACGTCAGACAGGGCGGTGGGGCCATGGTCTCTTTGGCCAGCTCCCCCTCGGTATTGGGGTATACAGAAGAGACCCCGGAAGACTTGGGTTCTGGTCCAGAGTCTGCCACTTGCTTAGCAACCGTAGGAAGGTTTCTGTCCCTTTTGAGCCTGAGTTGCTTGGGCTGGAAAGTGGGAATCATGATGGTCCTCACCTGACAGAGGGCTAATGACAAAGCGGGGCGGACTGTGAAGCCCTGTCCTCAGACCTGGCTTAAAGGTGGTCTCTCCCGGTGTCACTGCCCTGGCCCAGGCTTTCGCCATCAACCCCCTGCTGCAGATCATCAACCTGAATGACAACACCTTCACTGAAAAGGGTGCTGTGGCCAAAAAGGGGTGACAGCACTCTCGTGTGTCCTTATCCCCTCCTGTCCCCTTCTGGGCCTCCGTCACCCATCTCTAATGTGATGCTAGTCCTCCCCAGGCTGGCCGGGGGACACGCACATGAAGCAGTCGATACAAAGGCCCTTTGTAAACTGTCAGGTACTGGGCACATGTGAGGGGTGACCGTTGTGCTTTTGAGCAGTTCTTTGTCCCCGTACCCACCACCAGTGGGTGGTGTGAGATGCTGAAGACCAGTTTAGCAGTGTGGCTGCCCTGCTGGGCAAAGGGCCTCCTGCCTAGGCCTGGGCCCCTTGCCTTTCCCCCACAGATCCTGGCAGCAGCCCTGACTGAGTGTCACCGAAAATCCAGTGCCCAAGGCAAGCCGCTGGCCCTGAAGGTCTTTGTGGCTGGCAGAAATCGTCTGGAGAATGACGGAGCTACTGCCTTGGCAGAAGCTTTTGGGGTGAGTGGTTTCTGCCCATCCTGCCCAGCATGGCGACAGTCCTGGGTGTGCCTCCCAGCTCTGGGACTTAGCTTAGAGACCTTAGGCGAGCTGCTTCTGCTCACTGAGCCCACCGGCTGGCTCACTGGCTGGCTCACCCTGCAGTGTGTCGAGAAGTTGCCTGACCTGCCACCACAGGTGGACTGGCAGCGGCTTCTAGTCCAGTGCTGTTAAGGAAGGTTGTGAGGCTGCCCGAAGCAGTGTGACGTCTGCCAGGCTCAGGAACGGGCATGGTGGTGCCAGAGCAGTGTGAGTCAGCATCTCTGGCCTCTAGTGGGCAGGCCACAGACTTGCCCTTGAGACAGGGAGGTAGGCTGGAGCAGTGGCCCAGGTGCTGAATGAAGCACTCTCGTGTGTCCTTATCCCCTCCTGTCCCCTTCCAGCTGTCCCACCTCCCTCCCACACAAGGCACTGCCGAGTCCCTGGTGGTGAGCTTTATGAGAGTACCATACCTGCCCCCTTGAAGCTAGAAACTGTTTTCTTTGACAGACAATATTATAGTGGCATGACCAGTACTCATGCCAGAGCAGCATCCCCTGCAGTGTCCACTCTCTTCTTGAGGCCTTACACAGCAGGACCGTGGGGGATCCAGGAAGCCTTCCTGAGGGAGGAGGCATCCAAAGTGAGAGCTGCAGAATGCATAGTAGTCAGCCTACCAAGAAAATGCCAGCAAACGAGACAGAGTGTCCAGGCAGAGACAATGAAATGTCAGAAGGTTGAGATACAAAAGGGCCAGATGGGTTAGGGAAGACCCTCCTCACCCCGCAGAAAGGACATGGCACATGGGATGCCAGTCTTACTGTATAAACAGGGCAGGAGGGCTTTAGGAAAGAGCGGCCCAGAGCTGCGTTATCCAGAGAAGGGCCATGGCTGACCGCCCGACCAGAGCCCAGGGGCCCCACAGTGAGCTGTGTTCCGAGCTGGGCGAGCCTGGGCAAGTCACTTAGCCTTTCTGACCCTGTCCTTTGTGCCCAGTGGAGATCATAATCCCAGGTGGGTCTCCCTCATGAGGTCGGGAGGGGCTCAGATGCAGCTGCCCCCAAATGCACGCTCAGACCGGATCTGTGCGCAGACATCCACAGACAGGCCCCTGCCCGTGCTGACAGCAGCTCCTCTCCGTGTCCGTGCATAGTGCAGCCCTCCACCTGCTGAATGTCACTGGCAACACCTCTGCTCTCTCCCTCCCGCTCCTCGCAGATCATCGGGACCCTGGAGGAGGTCCACATGCCACAGAACGGGATCAATCACCCCGGCGTCACTGCCCTGGCCCAGGCTTTCGCCATCAACCCCCTGCTGCGGATCATCAACCTGAATGACAACACCTTCACTGAAAAGGGTGCTGTGGCCATGGCCCAGGTCAGACCCCAATAGGCAGGGCATGGCTGCTTCCTTTGGGAGGAACCGGTCAGCAGGTGGCTGCTCTGCCTCCCCGCCCACCTGGTGTGTTACCCCTATGGGTCCAGCTGTATAAACATGCCCAGACCAGGGTGTGTGTCACAAGCTAGCCTACACCCTTCTTGGGCAGCTTCGAGTGTCCACACCACCTTCCCCCTGAGCTGCCTCTGTAACCGCAGCTGTTGGTGCTGGTTTTGTTCTCAGAGGCTGCGCATAAGGCCACTCCAGCCTGATTTCTTCATTGATTCTGTTTAGTGACCCCTGTCTAGTGCCCAGCCCTGTGCCAATCAAAGGCTACACAGAGTTGAGTCAAAGATTTCGCCCTCAAAAAGCCCCTGGTTCAAGAAGGGAAGGGGATGGCTAATTGGTGGCAGTGCAGGGCCATAAACACAGTGACTAGCTGGCTGTTGGGGCCTCTGCATGGGAGGGCTCCCCAGCTCCCATCAACCTCACAGGGCCCCATGACCCCACAGAAGGCTGGTCCTGCTGCTGAGTGGCACAGGCACAGATGTGTGCAAGTGTTCGGGAGCACACAGGAAGTTCAAATACTTGGCAGGCTTCCTGGAAGAGGTCACATTTTGGCCCAATTGTACAGGACAAATGAACTTTCTCTGGACAAAGAGGGCGGGAGGAGAGCTGTGCTAGGCAGAGGGGTTAGCAGCAGGTAGGAAGGCCCAGAGACGGGAGGGAGCTGTGCTCGATTGGTCCTGGTCTAAGTGACTGCGGTCAAGGTGTGGCTGAGGGCTGGAGATGAGAGGGAGGCCAGACCTCGTGCCCTTGCCGACTCCCGGAGACTTTCTCCTGTCAGTGATAGGGAGCCGTGGAGGGTTTTAAGTGGGGAGGTGATGTCAGATTTGTGCTTGAGGAAGAGGGTTCTGGCTGTCATATGGGGACAGGGTGGAGGAGGTCTAGCCGGAGGTCGGGAGGCCAACAGGGAGACAAGTTAAGCTGAGGGGGCCAGACTGGATGCAGAAGAGGACAGTGTGTCGACTGATTCGGGGTGTGACGGCCATGGAGGGCTTGGGTGAGGAAGCCTGACCTTCGCCCTGGCCCGCACTTCCTCCTTGCAGACCTTGAAGACCTTGCGACAGGTGGAGGTGATCAACTTTGGGGACTGCCTGGTGCGCTCCAAGGGCGCTGTTGCCATTGCAGACGCTGTCCGCGGGGGCTTGCCCAAGCTGAAGGTGCCCTCTGGGGTCGCGGCTCCTCCCACGCGCGGCGGCGGGGGTGGGGGGATGCGTGGGGGGTGGTAGCAGAGGGTCCAGTCTTCAAAGGCAGGCGGGCTTGGGTGCTTCCACATTCCCCCGCTGTGACGTGCCGGTCTCTTCACCTCTCAGCTGTAGTTCCTTCACTCGTGGAATGAGAGGCGGGCGTGACGTAGGTTGTCGTAGTAGCGTATAAGCACGCCGAGCACCTGGCACACCGCTGGTAAATGGCATTTTTACTGTTGGTGTCAGTCTGCCCAGCTGGAGGACAGCACCTGTCGTATCCTGCAGTCTTCAGAGTGGGACATAGTCTCCTGGCCCACGTCTCTGCCTGCCACTACCCCTTCCCCTTATTTTTAGGAGCTGAACTTGTCATTTTGTGAAATCAAGAGAGATGCCGCTTTGGCCGTGGCGGAGGCTGTGGCAGACAAGGCCGAGCTGGAGAAACTGGACCTTAATGGTGGGTAGATAGGGGCCCTGGCCTCAGTGCAGGCCTGCTGGTGGCCCCAGTGCCAGTCCTGACCCTCTGTTCCCTCCCCGGCGGGCAGGCAACATCCTGGGGGAAGAAGGCTGTGAGCAGCTTCAGGAGGTGCTGGACGGCTTCAGCATGGCCAAGGTGCTGGCGTCCCTCAGGTAGGGAGCTCTGCGGAGTTAGCGCCTCATTGGAAAAGTTTCATTCAAAAAAAGTTGGTCGAGCCCTTGTTATGTGCCAAGCATTAGGGATACAAGAATAAGGCAGCGACGTTGTTGACCCATGGAACTTCATTCTAGTGGGGCGAGGGGTCTAGAATAACCAAGTGATCTCACATTCAGCAGAAGGACAAAGAGCTGAGAATGGTCCCTTGTTGAGTGGTGAGTGGGACCTCTGAAGGGACAACGTTTGATCGATGCTGACGGGTTAGGCAGGGTGGCGGGGAGGCCAGGTATCAATGGGGTGTGCTCAGAATTGTTCTTAAAATCACTCTGAGAGACCGACTTTAGAGAGGAAGCACCCGAGGCCAGAGGCCAGGTTCCTGGGTTTGCAGAGCCCCCTGGGGGTGGGATGGGGCGACAGCGGGCAGGCTTCTCCAGTAGGACCTGTTCTCTGCCGCTTTAATCTCCACGGCAGCTTCCTTCACTGGTCAGATCCTCAGTGCTAGGACCCTGTGCTGCTGCTAAGAACTGGGGACTCGGAGATGGTATCGAGAGGCTCAGGGTCCAGGGACAGTGGAATGGCCGTCCTCGGGGGTGGGAAACCCCCGCCTCTCCCACGCCCCCAATTGTAGCTTCCTATGGCAGTCCTGAGCATCTCTGCCTGGGCAGTGTCTCTGCCAGACTCTGGGCCCCCTGTGACAGTTCTCTTCCTTTTCTCTGTACCCCAGTGGGACTGGGGACTCTTTTGGGACAGGGACGAGATCTGATTCTCAGCATGGGCTTCCCTGGGTGATGAGAAATGAGTGATGAGCTCCCTGGCGACCCACTTGCTCCCACCCTGGGAACAGCTGCCCTGCCCTGCCCTGCCCGGGTCTCTGGATTCACAGAGCCAGGCCTCGGTGCCAGCATGGCCCCTGGGCAGGGAGGGTCTCCTTAACCAGCTCCTTCCTGCAGTGATGATGAGGGTGACGATGAGGAGGATGAGGACGAGGACGAGGACGATGATGAGGGAGAAGAGGATGAGGAGGAAGAGGAGGAGGAGGAGGAAGAAGAGGAGGAAGAAGAGGAGGAGCCACAGCCACGAGGAGAGGGGTCCCCGACGCCACCGAGGAATATTCTGGACTCTGACAGTGGGGTGAGTTCTTGTTCTCCACCAGGTCCAAGTGTGAAATCCTAAGACATTTTTATGGGGCCACATGGGGGGTGGAACCCCCTTAGGAAGCACAGTGGCCACAGACTTTTTAATTGCACGTTCCTGTGATTAAAAAGGAAAACCATCTAAATGTAGCCATTTTATCTGTGTTTGTATTGATCTCAGTATAGCGATATACTGAGCGTTTGCTTATAGACTGCAGTGAACGTGATGCTGCTGCATCGTGTATGTTGTAAGACATACGTATTTCTGAAAGGACAGAGTTAATAAAAACTTCTTTTTCTCCACTCACCTCGATGACCTATAGGGACAGCCCCCCATCCTATAAACTGGCTGGGCCCATGACCCAGCTTGAGCACTTGGAGTCCTTTACCTGGCCAGGAGGCCGGTGGCATCAGAGCTGCCATGTCCCTCAGTCATTCATTCCTGTTCCCTCGTAGGTTGCCAAATAAAGCTTTTGGGGAACTTCGGGGTGGGTTGCACAGGATCCCCTCACTCAATTTGGCTTCTTTTTCAATCTTACGGCAGCGTTCGAACAAATGGTCTGGTGTTTCTGTTTTAGTTTTGCTTGGGGCACCTCTGGCGCTTGCTACCAGTCCGTACTTGGGCTAGACTCCCCTCCCTGGTGGGTCCACTTTAGTCCCTACAGCATCTCGAGTCATTTCTGGGGCATCACGTGTCATGGCGAGGCTCTCGGAGTCCTAGGGCGGTGACTTGCCCCAGCCACAGAGGCTTGCGCACTCGAGGCCGGCCAGGGCCACCAGTGCGGGGCTGCACATGAGTGGGAGGAAGAATTCTAGAGACTGAACCCTGACTGGCTTGAGGAGGGCCACGTGTTCTGGGTGTGGGGTCTGGGTTCAGACCTCTACATGGCCAGCTGCGCCACCTGTCCCTCAGGAACCAGCTTCCACGCTGTCCTCGCCGCCCCCCGCAGACGTCTCCACCTTCCTGGCGTTCCCCTCTCCGGAGAAGCTGCTGCGCCTCGGGCCCAAGAGCTCTGTGCTGATAGCCCAACAGGTAACAGCGCTTCGACTGCAGCCCTGCCCGTGCCCAGGCTTCTGCGTCTGCTGCACGAAAGGGACGAGCAGGGCACAGACTGGGAGCGGAGCGGGGAGGCTGTCAGCGGGGGTCAGGGAGGGCTGCCGGGTATTCTTTCTTAATCCGTAGATGTGTGAACGAGTGTGCCAGTGTGGACACACTTGGGCTCCAGGGAGGACAGGCCTGCCGCTCCTCAGGCAACTAGAATTAGCCTTTTCTCTCACGTGCACACACATCCCTAGGCTTCCCGCTACGTGTGCCGAAGGCCCAGCTTCTTCTAGAACAACTGTCTCCTGCCCAGGGCCCCTGCGGCAGGCACACTGCATATTGCAGGGAGGCTGCCCTTGCTCCAGCCTCACTCGTTGGCTGGCTGGTTGGTTCATTCATTCTGAGAGGATTGTCAGGCCGTCCTGTGTGCCGGGCCCCGCTGAGTATTGGGCCCGGCTCTGTTTAGTGCTCTTGGTGTCTTGGGATGGAGACGCTATGACTCTTACGGTACAGAAGGGAAACCCGGGCTTCGAAGAGAGTGAGTGGTAAACAGAGGAACGGGCCCGCTCTCAGCCGGCTTGGCATTTTGGCTAATTTCCTTTTTATGTTTTGTCTGTACTTTTTTCTCTTGATGAATGAGGTTATGTAATATAAACGTTTCCATGGCCCACCTTTTCATTTACTACCGCTTCTCATTTTCCTGGGTCAGTAAAACTCGTTTTGAGCACTTCATCCCGTGAGTGGGTGGAGCGCTCAGCCCCCCGTTTCTGGACATTTGCCCTGTTTCCCTGTTCTCTGTAGCAATGAAGGTGAGGTGAGCTTTGTTGCGTGGAACCGTCGTGTACCTTCCGGATTATTTCTTTAGGTTAAATGACGAGAAGGGGATCACGGAGTCACAGGGGGGGCGATGCTTATCTGCTCCCTCTGTGTGTGGCACAGCCGCACGGGCCAGGCCCGGGGAGACAGCGCGGGGCACAGCACGGCCTGTCCTCGCTCGCCCGAGGCCCACTTCTTGCCAAGGCCTCATCGAGCCAGTAGCAGAGCCCGAGCCAGTGCGTGCCGAAGTCCGGGGCTCTGGCCGCTGGTGACCAGCCATTGTCTTCTCTGTCCTCAGACTGACACATCTGATCCGGAGAAGGTGGTCTCTGCCTTCCTGAAGGTGTCCTCTGTCTTCAAGGACGAAGCCACAGTGAGGACAGCAGTTCAGGATGCAGTAGGTAACGTGGGCGGCGTGGGGCTTGGGTGGCTCCTACCTCCGCTGCTCTAGGACTCAAGTGACGTTTCTCGACGTCGCCGGAATCCCTCTGCTCCAGCACTAACGTGTGAACTGCTCTCCAGCTCCTCTCACCTGTCCTGTTGGGTGCTTGCCATTGAGCATGCTGGGTACTCTCCTCTCTGCTTTTCGCAAATGGGGAAACTGAGGTCTTTTCCAGCCACACAGCTGCATACAGGTAGAGCTCAGGCCAGGCGGTGTCCACCACAGGAAAACCAGCTAGTCAGCCGCAAGGCCCCTGTGGAGGCAGGCTTCTCAGGAGGGGTGATGAGAACTGAGCCTTTGCCCCCACATCCGAGCCTCTGCTCATGTGGTCCCCTCCACCTGGAGTCCCCCTGCCTGGAGGATGCCTGCTGTTCGCGATCTTTCTCGAGGCTTCCTGGGGTCTCTGGTTCACGTTCCCCAGGCCCTGTCATGACTTCCCATCCTGCCACCCCGTTCTCTTAGTTACCTCTGTCATAGCACCTTTCACCTTCCCCCCTGCCCATGTGCGTCTGAGTCTCCAAGGCTCGGCCAGGTTTGGCTAGGCAGAGGGGAGAGGAGGGGCCTGCAGCGAAGGGCACCGCCGCGGAAAGGGGTAGAAAGGACTGGCGACGCTTGCGATGCTTCCTGCTGGACTGGCGTGCTGTGGGCAGCACGAGGCGGGGGGGCGGCAGGAAGCGAGGCTGAGCAAGCAGGGGAGAGCCAGGCGGGAGCCTCCAACTCTGCTCCCTGAGATCTCAACCCCATGGGCTTTTGTGGGAACAGACTGGCTGGATTCTGTCTCCCAGAGTAGCCCGCACAGGAGCAGATGGCCCCGGCGGGTGGTCTCTGCCGGCCCTCGGCCGCTTCTCTTCCCCATCCACTCTCCCTCGCCGCCACAAGATGGCTGAACCTTCTCCAGGGGTGATCCACCTCACTGTCTGCTTCAGCTGTGTGAGGACCCCAAGCCCATTTTATTTGCGAGGCCAGGACAGGGAAGGACCAAGGTGTCACGGCCAGTAGGTCAAGCCCTTCCCCTGGTGCTAGCTGTCCCCTTAAAGTGGTACCTGTATCCATGACCCACTTCCTGTGTTCCTGAGCAGGAGGCAGGACCCAGCCTTGTGGGGGGGCTGCATGCCCTTTGGCCCATGGCCAGCCCTTTGCCCCAGTAAGCACCCTGTCCTGTTTCTGCCTTGCAGATGCCTTGATGAAGAAGGCCTTCAGCTCATCCTCCTTCAACGCCAACGCCTTCCTCACCAGTCTGCTCATCCACATGGGTCTGCTCAAGGTGCGGCCAGAAGAAGTAGTGGGCCCAGGTGGGAGAGGGCGCACTAGTGGCTGCTTTGGCCGCACCTATCCGCCCCATTCCACATGTATCCTGCTGGGACCTGTCACCCACACTGTCCTGGGCCTGACTCCGCTTAAGCAGCCTTGGCCTTCGTGATGGGGCTCAGCTTGACCTTGTCCGTGAGGCGCTCTGAGCAGGGACTGGATGGTGGCAATCTAGCGCCCCCCAGGGAACCGTGAAGCTCACCTTCTGTGTGTTCCTCTTGCAGAGTGAAGATAAGATCAAGGCCATTGCCAACCTGTACGGCCCCCTGATGGCACTGAATCACATGGTGCAGCAGGACTATTTCCCCAAGGCCCTTGCACCCCTGCTGCTGGCATTCATGACCAAGTGAGTGTACCCGTGTCGGCTCACATGGCCACGCATGTAGGCTCCTGGCCAGCTGAGGCTTCCCTGGCCCAGTCACTGGGGCTCGTGAAAGACCTTCTTGCCTCCCAGGCTCTTGGCATCTGTGTTTGGGTCTCACTCCCCTTGTGAGGCAGCCTCTGTGCCCAGCCGAGGACACGGGACTCAACGACAGTGCCTATTTTCTGTGAAAGACAGGGCCTCCGTTCTCCACGTGAGGAAACCCAGGTCACTTAAGGAGTTTGCCATGTCACACTGCTGACCGAGGGCCTGCGCCTGGCAGCATCCCTGGGAGCAGTTCTCTGTCCATCTGAGGACACGGGACTCAACGACAGTGCCTTTTTCTGTGAAAGACAAGGCCTCCGTTCTCCACATGAGGAAACCCAGGTCACTTAAGGAGTTTGCCAGGTCACACTGCTGACCGAGGGGCTGCTCCTGGCAGCATCCCTGGGAGCAGTTCTCTGTCCATTGCCACAGCAACCTCGGTCAAGGGGCCCGGTCACATGGGCGTTCCATAACCACAGGCCCTCCCCTGGGGACGCCAGTGCCCAGGGACACGGAAACCTTGCCCTCCTCCTGGAGGGTCCTGGGCCATGGTGGGCCACTGGCCGCAGTCAGGTCACCAGGAACCTCCAGGCCCTGGGCCCACCGGGGATGAGTGGGGAGGCTTGTCCCTGTTCTCACCGAGGCCTGTGTGGCCTCGGCCGACCTCTGGCCTTCCTCAGCCCTCAGTCTCCCCATTGGGCAAAGTTGTCTCCAGGAGCTCTGACCGGCCACACTGAGTGAACTTAG